CGACTCCCAGATTTTAATTTTTTACGGCTGTAAACTACTTACATCAATATAAAAGTATCTTTTTAAAAAACATAAAATTCTTCTTCAGTCCTTCCAAAGTTTTTCCTTACCAAAGTTAAATATGAGGTCCCTACGTAAGAAATATTGGCCTTTTAAGAATACTAAGTTATTGAACTAATGATTGTCTTAGCATCGGTGTCGATTCTGACATGATTCTCTAAACCTTAACGACAGTGTATCCTTGTCATTCTCTATACAGATTGAAAAGGAGAGACAGATGTTACATTTAGTTTTAAGTTTAGAGAATCATGCCAGAATCGACGCTATTATCATGTAATTTCGGCATTCAATAATTCATATTTTCCAAAAAAATGTGGGAGTGCGAACCAATAACGAGGGATATTTTTAGCACATGAGTACACGTACAGTCCGTAATTTAAAGGTTTCCAATAAAACGATAGTGATTCCTTTCTCTATGATTACCAAGTTGTAAATAAATAGAGATGTTGAAGAAAAATAAATGGAGCGAAAACAAATGAATTGATAAATTCGAAAATTAATTTCTTGATTTTCAGATCATTGACCAAACTCCAACGGTGGTACAACAAAAAATTATACAGTATTTAAAACCATGTCTAGGCAATATTAGACAATATTTCTTAAACTTTTGTCGATCGCGTAATTAATAGAGTAGATATTTAAGATTAAAATAGCCAGATAGAGTTGCAAATGCTAACTTTATGGCCTTACACATTATCATCATTATCAGCCTAATAACGTCCCCACTGCAGGGGCACAGGCCTTTACTATGGATAGTTTAGGGAGACTGGGCCGTGACCCACCACGCGGGTCCAGTGTGGATTGTGGGTGCTAACCACTGCAGATGGAGCCGGGACCAACGTCTTAACGTGCCTTCCGAAGCACGGAGGTGCTCGAGAGAGACTTTCAGGATCGCTAGCTGATTGGGCTAACCACCAGCGCCATAGAGCTTCTCCTCCCTGTCTTTACACACAGAGCCATATCATTGAGCCAAATTACATTGTGAAGTTGTTTTGTATGGTAGGCTCGCGAGGAGCTGGCGTCATTCGCGCCTTGGGGCCGCGCTGGCGGCGGTGCTCCCAACGCTAGGGGTATCCGCTTCACAGACCTGCGAGCCACCGGCATCTACCCGGAAGACGAGTTGAGAGTGAGTGTCGCATAGTCATTGCTTATCCCACGGAGCCGTGTTCCCAACGCTAGCGGTATTCGCTTCACTGGCCTGCGAGCAACCGGCATCTACCCGAAGGACGAGCTGAGAGTAAGTATCCTGCAGGCGTTGTTTAGTCCTTGAAGCCGAGGTCGAGCTCAGAGTGAGTATACTGCAGGAAGTGAGGAGTTGACGTTGCTGAATACATAGAGTCATGCTCCATGTCTCAGGGTGTATACTTCACTGACCTGCATGTCAGACATCTATCCCAAGTGCGTAATAAGGGTGAGCGTCTTGCAGGCAGAAAAGAGCTACCTATGCTCACTCTGTGGAGTCACACTCCCAACCCTCGCGATATATGCGTCACGGAACTGCGCGCTACTGGTATCTAACCATTCAGCGAGGCATCGCTAGCTCTATCGTAGAGCCGCGGACTCAAACCTCGCGGTATGTGCTTCACTAGCATCTACCAGGGCGAGCTCAGGGTGAGTGTCCTACAGGCAGCAAAGAGCAGGCGTTGCTCACTCTGTGGAGCCATGCCCTCTAGCCTCTCGGTATGTGCTTCACTAACTTGCACGATACTGGCATCTACCACGAGGAAGAGCTCAGAGTGAGTGTCCTACAGTCAGCGCGGAGTAGGCGTCGCTAGCTCCAAAGAGTCGCGCACCCAACAACTTCGCGATATGTGCTTCACCAGCATCTACCCTGAGGACAAACTCAGAATAAGTATCCTGCAGGCAGCCATTCTCTCTAGCCTCGTGGTATGTGCTTTACTAACTTGCACGATACTGACATCTATCACGAGGAAGAGCTCAGGGTGAGTGTCCTACGGGCAGCAAGCAGCTGGCTTGGAGCCATACTTCTAACGCTAGCGGTATATGCTTGACTTGCACGCCACGGGCATCTGGCGTTGCTTAATCTAGAGCCGGAGCCGTGCTCTCAAGCCTACCGGTATGTGCTTCACCAACTTGTGCGCTGCTGGTGTGACAGGATTCCGTGGGATGATGGAAATAACGAAATCCGCGACAGCTAAAATATAAAAGGTATATTTAAAAAAAAAGATTTGTGTCGTGGGGTGAAGCCCCTTAATTTATGCTTGCTAACGTTTTTCCCTTTGAGGCACGGAACCCTAAAAAATAATTTTATTCTTTATGGAGAAATATATTGTTTGTTTTCTAAATATAAGACTACAGTTTGAGGTTTTACAGAAAGAAGAACTGAAAACAAACATCAACAAAGGTAATTTTCTCCTGAAATTAATGTTGATCAATGTGAAGTGATACATACATAACACGGAATATGTAGATTAACTTTCCAAGGGCGAGTCAGACGCGTACACGAAGGATTCCGTCTTTGTAAAAACTTCTTTGACAAAAATGAAAACCGACTGCATAAAAACAAAATCACAAAAAAATCATAAATAATAGATTTTCTTTACTAAAGACTAAAGTACTTTAAATTCAAATTAATATTTGGTGTTGTGTAAATGGTATCTCAGATTTATCAACATTCAACATGCACGGCACCGAACCTGTTAATTTGTCTTAAAATGTAGTTCAGTTAAAAGTAAAGATTTGTATTATTTTTTATTTTTGGTGGCTTTGTTTTTAAGAAGTCAGTTTTATTTTTGTTAAACAGATTTTTTTTTCTCTTTTTATGTATTGGTTACCAGGGAGCCAATCGCCTAAGGGTATTGTTATGGCTATCACTTACGATATCATTTTGTTCTTTCTGACCGCCGAAGGTTTTAATATTGTTATTACCAATGCAAAAGAAAAAAAAAGCGCAAGACATTTGAAAACCTTCGGCGTCCATCCACCATCTCGCCAAAAATCTGATTCAAACAAAAAAGAGTCTTCAAAATTGATTAACAAACCACGGAGATATCCGCGAACAACAATAAAAAATATAATGACGAATTAAGAAACTCCTCCTTTTTGAAGTCGATTGAAATGGGTGATAAACAAGCATATGGCCCGCCGTATCAAAATATGCCCTATAAACGTTTTCAATACTAAACTATCATTATTTTGTGGGGTTTTGATAGGCAATGGCCTATCAAAACCCCACCCCTGTACCATCATACTTAATTTAAAACCGAAGTCGAGTAAAAATATTCAAATATTCGAAAAAATATGTATATACAGTTTACCTATAATGGTTCATGGGATACAATACATACATATATAAATACGGATATAGTACGCTAACAAGACGGAAACGAACGTTTATTAAAAGGGTTTCGTTATCACGCTTTGAGTACGAAACTATATTGTTTTGATCTAAGTATCTGTATCATGAAATACTCTAATACTTCGGCGATATCGAAACCTGCGTTCATTCATGAAAGCACTATTGAGTTTTATCGTAATGAATACGTAACTAAATATATGTTTAAATTCGTAAGTAAATAAAGCTTAGTCTTCTCATGCAAACACGTTATTCAGGGTGTGAACGAAGACCGGTATAATATTACCTAATTCCTACTTAACACATTCCTACTTATGTGCATACAGGTGACCACAAAGTGGGAAAGTAATAAGCTTTTCGTATGATAAACGTCTGTAATATAATAATGATTGCAACTTGTAATTTTGATTTGAAGTTAGTTTAGTCCATTTTCTTAACCATTTTCGTATCTAAGAAGGAGAAAACGGAACACTTATAATTTTAATTTGTTGTTTATCTGTCTGCTGTCTGTCTATCAAAACAAAAAAAAAAACATTCTCGGGAACGCGTATAAGATGGGATTTTAAGCATATATACAGTCAACGGTCCATTGAAGCTGTGAAAAATCACACTTAAAGATACAGCCGTTTATGTTGCGTACCTACTCAAAATTTGTATGGAACCGGGTAGAGTATATACGTACTTGGTGACAGGTTGCAAGCTCATTGCATAAATGGTACTTAAAAAGTCAACTTTGAAACAAATTTTTTTTAGATTACCTTGAAGCTGTGAAAAAATCACAGCCGTTTATGTTACGTACCTACAAATTTGTACGGAACCATCGGTGGCCGAGTTCGACTCGCACTTGTCCGGTTGTTTTATAACAGGTAGTGATTTTTTGTTAACTTCAAAGATTAACTTACATAATTAAAATTATAAAATAAAGTTGGCAGCTTTAGACCATTTTTACTGGAAAGCTAACACAATGTTAGAGGAATCTCCATAAACTTCCGATTCAGACTCGAAAGATCGCCAATTCAATGTAAAAAAAACATTTATTCTTATCGGTGCGAGCTTTAATATTTTCAAGACTGTAAGCTAAAATATAATTATGTAAATATAGCACTACATGTTCAGAATGTTCTTTATAAGCAATAATGAAAATTAATAATAAATATCCATTAGACTTCATATAGAATGACATGCCTTTTTCAGATTAGGTATTGTTATAATTTGTAGAAACCCTGACCTTTTATACTATACGAAATGTCACTGATCATGTACAATAGATGGAAAGTTTAACTAAACCTATCACTGTTCTAACGATACTACTTAGTTAATATTCTTAATATAATTTATGCGACAGTAGACATATAATATGAATTGATTACGCCCTATTAATCATCGTTCCTTGAGTAATAGGGAGACGTATCTTAGGATTTGTTTGCTCACACTTGCTTATTGATTATAAAGCGAATGCAATAATTCATAACGGAGGTAAAGGGTCACTAGTTTCAGAAGTCTCTATGACGCAACTTTGAGCAAAGAAATCGGCCGCATCTTTATGTAGGCAGGTACATATTACCAGTTTCTACAAACTGTCCGGTCGGTTGACATAACGCTGTTTACATTTTTACTCAATTTAAAAGCATCGTTCATTTCATACACCGGTGTGTGCGGTGCGGCGTACATACAATCAATGCGTTACGGGAGGGGAGCCTTTACGCATGTTACATGTTACAACCAACGTAAGTACAAATCACCATCAAGTGTTTATAAAGTACGAAGACATTAATTACATCTTTACATCCGTATTCGAATAATGGACGGAGTTAAATAACCAAATGATGTTCACAAGTGAGACAAACGATGTTAACAACTTATAACACAACCGCTCTTAAATATGTTTAATTGCTTCTCAAATAAAAAATGATCGGGATTTATTTTTTATGAATATATTAAGAAAGCGCTAGACAGCTTTTATTAATATGTTCGGTTGTACTGAGCTTGACTAAATGGTTGTGTAACGAGTAAGTCCATGTTCTTAATATGATGAAGGTTAGAACAGTACCTGTGCCATCATTATGAATATTGCTATAATACAATAATGCTCTGAATCAATATTAAGTATTTGTTTCTTAAATTTTCACGTACATCACTCATTAAATAAAATAAGTTTCAACGGGTAACATGCACTGATTTTATTTATTTATTGACGTTGCGCTCCCTTTGCAGGAATGCGTCGTCAGAATATTGTTCTTTGGGTAACAGAATATTATTCTCAATTCTCAGCTCAATGGCGCAAGTGGTTAGCGCGTTTGGCTGCGATCGTTGAAGTTAAGCACCTTTCGCAGTGGTCGGTCATTGGATGGGTGACCAAAAATTACTATCTCGAGTTCCTCTGTGCTTCGGAAGGCACGTTAAGCCGTTGGTCCCCGTTGCATCTGCAGTCGTTAGCACCCACCAATTCGCACTGGGCCCGCGTGGTGGCTCATGGCCCAATCTCCCTATTTCATCCATAGGGAAGGCCTGTGCCCTAGCAGTGGGGACATTAGTAGGCTTATGATGATGAGTGCATCTAACCCGTTGAAACTTATTTTATTCAATATTAATTAGTAACATTAGGGCCTTATGAGGCCCGTAATTACTTGATGCTTCACACACGTACAATCCAAGCTTAATCTATTATGGAAAAAACAATAGCTACTTGAACACACCACAATATTTTCGCCCACTCATTGTCCACACTGTGGGTTGCGGCGCTATTAATTAATCGCTAACTACATTTCGTCATCACTATCAAGTTATGGGCCTCGGCAACCAAAACTCATTTATCTGCAGTTTTGGGTAACAGTCTTAATTTACAAAATTAACGCGCTAGAATTATGTAACATTAAAAACATTAGGCCGCGGCTCGATAGAGCTTGCATTATTGAATCGTATTTTTACCTCCTATGTTATTTCAGTTAACGATTCGATGATCTTACACAAATTCATACCAAATAATAAATAAAAGATGCCCCAACTAAGTCTGTGTACGTTCGTAAATGCAATTTATAATTTTTTCTTTGTTATATTACAAGCCAATGGACTTAAAAAGTGTCATTCTTTATATTCGTTTGAATGTTGTTTATAAGAAAAATCTATGAACTAACTGATTTTGTATACAGAATCAAACATTTTATTTACTATAAAGTTCAGTTCAAAGTCAAAGCCCACAGTTTTAACTAGATTTTTGTACCTTACTCTGAATGTTCCCTAGATTTCTCCAAATCTGGTATGAGTATGCCCATACCAGATTTGGAGAAATCTAGGGAACGCGCTAAAATTATGTAACATTAAAAACATTAGGCCGCGGCTCGATAGAGCTTGCATTATTGAATCGTATTTTTACCTCCTATGTTATTTCAGTTAACGATTCGATGATTTTACACAAATTCATACCAAATAATAAATAAAAGATGCCCCAACTAAGTCTGTGTACGTTCGCAAATGCAATTTATAATTTTTTCTTTGTTATATTACAAGCCAATGGACTTAAAAAGTGTCATTCTTTATATTCGTTTGAATGTTGTTTATAAGAAAAATCTATGAACTAACTGATTTTGTATACAGAATCAAACATTTTATTTACTATAAAGTTCAGTTCAAAGTCAAAGCCCACAGTTTTAACTAGATTTTTGTACCTTACTTTGAATGTTCCCTAGATTTCTCCAAATCTGGTATGGGCATACTCTCTAGCTATAAAGATATATCTCTCGTTCCAGGGAGTGTCTCAGTACGAGCCTTGTTACCGGTTCCCGACACCTCGTCGCTGGTATCGCCGGACACCTCTGCGCCTGCGCGAGGATCCGCAACTCTGCTACGCGGAAAACCTGCGCCAGAGTGTTGACAACGACCTACGCTACAGGCAGACGCCTGTGCAGCAACACAACTACAAACAGATCCTCGGTAAACAGAGGGGTTCTTTCTTTATATTAACAACGGGTATTGATTGTTTAATGCAAAATAAAACTGAAACTTTGCTACGCGAACAACTTACGACAGAGCGTTGATACCGACATAGGCCGTATACAGAAAGAAAGCCGAAAGCCGATCGGCGTTTATCGGCGCCTATTGGCGCCGATCCTTCCTACATAAAGGAAGCCGATTAAAGCAGATCAAGCAAAATGTCGGACTCATCGGACGATAATTTGGTTTTGTTAGAAAATGTTTATTTAAAAATGCGAAAAACAGCTATACATCCTATAAATAGAGATAGGAAACGTTTCGGAGAATACCATCATTTATTTGTAAAAAAAAATTAAATTTGATAAACAAAGATTTTATACATATACAAGAATGATTCAAGAAACATTTTATTACATTTTGGATTTAGTGAAAAACTGTTTGATGAAAAATTGGGGCAATTGGCATAAACCACCAATCCTTCCAGAAGAAAGACTTGTTGTCACCGTTTGGTAAGTACGAAACAAATAATTTTAGCGCTTAGTTAATAAAAGATAAAGTTATTAGATTTATAAAAAGATTATAACTTAGATTGATTTAATCTAAGGATAATAATTCAAATACAAATTATTTATTATTCGGACCAGCGCGTGTCGGCGCTTATCGGCGCTGATCGGCGCCGATCGGCTTTCGGCTTTCTTTCTGTATACGGCCATACGCCATAAGCGAACACCCATGCAGCAATACAACTACAAACAGATCCTCGGTAAACTGAGAGCTTCTTTCTTTATATTAACAATGGGTAATGATTATTTTTTGCAAAATGAAAACCGCAACTCTGCTTCGCATAGAACTAGCGACATGCGTTGATAACAACATAATATGCTGTAAGCAAACACCCGTGCAGTAACACATCTACAAACCGATCCTCGGTAAACTAATCTGAGGGAATCCATTTTAAAGTGAAACTTTTATTACATCGCCACCAATTTTTTCGTTCATCTTTAACATATTGCATTACATTTTTAATGGTAAACAAGAAAAACAAGAAAAAGAAAACAGTGGTAGAAAGCTCGCCAGTTACGCGAGCGGCCCGGGTTCGATTCCCAGCCAAAAAAGGCTTGTTTTATATTTATAAATGATTTTTATCTCTTCTTGGTTTTATAAAACCACACCATTTTTTTATCTTTATTATGAGTATAGACTGATTATTGAAAATAAAACCACAGCACTTATACGCATTAGAACCTGCGAAAGAGCATTGATAACAATATACACTATAAGCAAACACCAGTGCAGCAGCACAACTACTAACAGATCCTGGGTAAATTAATCTGAGGGAGTCTATTTTTATAATGGGTATTGATTGTATTTTGCAAAATGAAACCGCGGTTCTTCTACCCATAGAATGTGCGACAGAGCCGTTGATAACGATATATGCTGTAGGTCTGCCTGTGCAGCAACACACAGGTCTTCAGTAAACTAATGAAAATCATTATATTTTAGGATATAATTATTATTATGAAACATAGGTATAGACAGTATTTTTGAAAATGGAAACCATTATCTTTTATAAACTTACTTTCTTTTTTGTATAAAACACGTGTCTATGGTGAGCATTAAATTTAGTTATTGCACTTTGATGACCATTAAATTTAATAATTGTTGTTTGAGTGCTGCCGAAAGTAGACAATTTCTATTTGGAAAAGTTGCACAGATGAGTAGATACGGACGATTTAAATCTTTGAGGTACGGTATGAAAATGAGCTTTGAGAAACAGAAAACAATCAAATTACATTTGTGTAAAACAGTAAAGTATATTAATTAGCATACAAATATGAGCTGGTCGAAAGCCTTGTAAAATACGTTTATCATAATAAGTCTCTATTATGGTTTCAAAACCAAATGGTCGCTAGGGATTAAGGCAATTCATTTTAAAAAGGCCAATGAATATTAATCAGGAAGAAAGCTGCTGTTGTTTGTGTGGCGTGTATCAATTCTTCATTGGTCGCGGTAATTGATTAGACGTAATGTACGAGGAAACATGTTTATCATGATAACTAGTGGCCCGCCCTCGCTTCGCTTCGGTGTAGAGCTGTAGTATTGTCTATAGTTTTTGTTCTCAGGCTTTTATACACAATGAATTTCTTGATATAATTATACACTTTCCATGAAAATTTATTTAACAGATAGTGAAAATTTTGTTGCGTAGTTTAGGACCCGTTTTACCGAATACACAATTTAAAATAAATAAATATTTCCAACACTCACACCAATTAGCCTAGCCCCAAAGTAAGCACTTAAAAGCTTGTATTATGGGATGCTAGGGTAACGAATAGAATACATATATAAGTATATTTATATAGAAATACATATGAAACATCCATGACTGGAGTACAAATGTTGGTATTCATTACACAAACATCTGCCGCCACCGGGGTTCGAACCCGGGACCTCTCGAGTCGGCGACACCATGAAACCCGGCGTACAAACCACTCGGCCACATAGGTCGTCAATTTTTTGGTTGAACGAGCAAATCTCAGGAACTAATGATCCGATTTAAAAAATATTATTTGTTTTAGGTAGTGAGTGAGTGAGTGAGTTTGGGGAAGGCTTAGAAATATATAATACTAGCTGTACCCCGCGGTGTTACCCGCGTTCTATTAGGGATATTTTCCCGCAGTAAAATGTAGCCTATGTGTTAATCCAGGGTATCAGCTAACTCCACACCAAATTTTATTAAAATCGTTCCAGCCGTTTAGACGTGAAGAAGTAACAAACATACACACTCACATACTCACAAACTTTCGCCTTTATAATATTAGTGTGATTACGCTACGACCAGTAGGAGCGGAGTATCAACATAAAATGTTGCAAAAACGGGTAGAAATATTCCAATTGTGAGATTCCGTTGCGTTAATGATTAAAGTTACACTAAAATTGTGTATGACGGACTTGTTCCTCTTTAAAAGTTCTATAAAGAAATCCGCGACAGCATATGCCCATCACCCTGGGTTACATTATCGAATTTTTCATACGGTACCCTATTTTTCTTGGCAATGCTCTATAGCCTATGTTCATAAGGGATAATGTAGGATTCTAAATGTGAATGTATGAATTTTTCTAATCAGTCCAGAGTTTCGGAGCCTATTCAATACAAACAAACAATCAAAAAAAAACTTTCCTCTTTATATTAAAGATTACTATAGATTTATTGCCATTGTTTTAGATGATATGGTCGATAAAAGAAAGAAAGAAATAAAAGATGAAAAAAAGCGGACCTTGGACTACGAACGCAAAATGGTAAATGTGTGCTTTGATGCTATTAAGAATATTAACGTTTTAGTAATTTTTATGTAAATAATTTTCAGCATACTATGGAAGGGCCATGGGGACGACCAGGCCCTGGAGGTGCCGCTTGGAGGAACCCTCGTGACATCGGTTTAAATTTCACAAAGTCTATGGTACAATATTTGAGTCGCAATATTTGTTTAATATTATTTAATATGCATAATACTGTTTTATCAACTCAGTACTTACTCGTATTATAACATCAGGCTACCTACCTGAATTCTAGCTTTGACAAAATATTATCGAAACTGTTTGTTGTATTACGATCACAGATAAACAGAGAGAACTTTATGTTAAATGGTTGCAATTTTCTAAATATATATGAACTACTTAGATATTTTTTTATAAAGTAAAGACTGATTTGCAGGGTTGGACAGATAACGAAATTTTTAATAAATTACAAGGGGATCAAAAACTCTACAAGAGATCTTCGCTAGCTTTACCTAAAGTAAAGAGAGACGATGATACTAAAGAGCAAATAGAAGCAGATAAAGAAAACGAGAAACCATGCAATACTGACAAATTACCTGACATCAAGCAAACGAAAATCGTTAATGAGAGCAGTCCAGAAAATAAAAGTGACGAAAAACTTACTAAAGAAGCCAACGGTAACGGTAAAGGGAAACGTAGTCCTAAGAAAAGTAAATTTGTAAAGAGGCTGTCTAATGGTGATAGAGTGCAGAAAGTTGTTCCTGATGATAACTGGGATGCTGGTAGCGCGATAAGACAAGAGGGAGATACTTCCAAAGGTGCAGAAAAGAAGCTGACGCCTGAGGCAAACATTCTTCGCGTGACGGGTGGAATAGAACTAGTACCATTGCTTGCGAGGAGACGCCGTGTCGGCGCTCGAACTTTGCCTTCGAGTGACGTCACTAGAACCCCAGAGCAACAATGCCAGTGAGTATCAAGTATATTTAGTGGCATTTATCATATAAGTGACGAAACTTCTTTTATTTATAAATTCACAAAAGAGGTATAATTAAGTCCAATACGAAGAATATTTGACATTATGAACTTGCGCGGACGCAATAGGCTTTTTTTGTTCATCTTACACAATAAGCGTTAAAGTTTATTTTTATTCTGTTACATTGTTATTATTGCTTTATAGCTTTGAAGATGCTTAGCGTTAAATCATTTACTTAGTGCTTGTACAAATTTGGAAAGAATAATTCTCATTACAAAATATGTACTAGCACCCTGGTTTATCGTCGCTTAAATTAACATTTAATCTAACAGTGGCAGTAAGCAACCAAAATATTTTTTTGCATTTTGCATCAACATTAGCCTGTCCCTACTGCTGGGCACAGGTCTTCGATATTGAGTGACTTGGTAGATTGCTCCATGACTCACCATAGGGAGCCCGATTGTTGTGTGTGCTGCAGATGCAGCCGAGATTGGCTTGTCGTGCCTTTCAAAGCACGAAGGAGTTTGAGATTATACATTTGATTTCCATCCTACAACCGGTCATTGCGGACGCGCTAGCCACTTGCGCCATCGAGCTCTTCCTTATGTTATTACTTGTACATGTATATTTCTATACTAATATTATAAAGCTAACCTCAGGAACAACTGGTCCGATTTGAAAATTTATAACATAACGCTACGACTAATAGGAGCAGAGCACCAATGAAAAATATTGAAAAAATATTCCATTTGTGAGTTTCCGTTGCGTGTGCTACGCAATAAACGCGTAAGACGGAATTGTACTCCTTAAAAAGTTCTATAAAAAAGTCTCTCTCTCGTTTTTCCTCAAATTAAAGCGGGTGAAACCGCATGGCATCTCTAGTCATATAATAAGTCATATAAGTGCTTCTTATAAAATGTAAAGTTTCACATTTTGAACAACAACCTGCAATTTAAAATAATTTTCTAAATAGCGGCTCTGGTATTCATGATTTCCTATCCCGAATCCCACGGTATTGATTACATATTTTCCAAAATTGAAGTAGAAAACGTAAAGATGACCATCATTACGTTGGTTTATTTATACAAACAAATCACTATTCTTAGCTCATTTTATTCAAAAAATTTACATAAATTGAAATATATTATTTATTAATCTAGAGAGCGGTTATCATTCCGACATAGTGAATATTTTGATCACAGACAGAAAGTCTGGTGTAACTTTTTATGCAATATAAGTATGGAAATTAAATGTTTATATTTATCCTGCAACTTTATTAATGATCACACAGCTTATAGTGGTTTATCAGCTCTCATTTAATATCATTATTATAAGAATATTAATTTAAAATGTTACAAAATGCTTTTATATATCATCGTTTGATAGATATTTATTTGTTTCTTAAGTTATTTACTAATTATAAGGCATAATGTCTTTGTTATATTATTGTTACTGAACAACATCCTTGTCCCGATTATACATTGTAGATGCAAAGAGTTAGGATAACGCTTAGTTTATATATACCTGTTCTGTGCTTATATATAGTGTCGGGAACATTATATATACAAAATATAAGTTTATAATCACACCAACTGAAGCGCGTTTGTTGTTCTTCTATCTGTATGTGTCGAAACTTGAATGATTTTGAACTCGTATGTCAAAGTAGAACAGTTAACAAATCTTTAAGATAATGTTGACAATTTTAAATAGCCTGATGTTCTGTTTTTTTTTATTAATTTTTAAAGATGAAAATGTCGACAAACTCGTTTACGTTCATTAGCGTACGTTAAATCAATAGTTGGTACGCACAATAAATCAATGTTTGTTTGGAATTTCTTTAATTGCACGTCCACACGTCACACGGGTCTTGTACTCGTCACTTCGGCATACGTGATAATGACAGGCCGGTGGCGTATCTCGATATGCGGCGGTCACGTTTGACCGTCATTGATGTTTGGTATTACATCACAGCTTTCTATACGGACAATATGTGAAGATTAACGGGTTTCATTAGCTCGGTAATCCATACGCCACCAAATGATAATCATCTCCGACGTTGTTAGATGGAACTCGATAACTGCATTATTTGGTGGTTTATGATATGCCTCATTTGTAGTTACTCTTGATCCCGCCGACCTTTTTATAGATCTATCTGTACCGTTATCAGCTATGTGACTCTCTCACACTCGGCTAGAATTGAATTTTGAAATTCCATTACCGTATTTTGTAATGAATTGTCATTGGTTGGTAGTTAATATTAATGATCGCCAATAGCATGAACGATACGGCATCAATTAAAGGTTTTCACACACGCCACATAGTGTTCATATTAGTAACTGTTAGTTACAAGATAACCGTAATGCTGTACAATGCCACAACGCATGTGGCTCTAATAGCTACAATAAAGTTTTTTTTATCAACATCGATGTTTTCACCAAAAAAGCCTTGACTGTGGAATTTTGAAATTCTTACATTTTATTTACGCCGCAGTTTTAAGTATGGGGGCCATATACCAGTCATATTTTTTTAATACTTACCTGCATTTAACTCATACTTAACTGACGCGGAGTACCACTATGGATTTAACAGTTGCGTTTTTAAAATTTACCTACCACTGATTGATATTTCTTTCAGATGGCGTGAAATCGACATACAATACCTGAGAGATTTGAAACATCAAATACGAGTGAAAAATCAACAAATTGAGGTGAATAACAAATTGTTCATTTATTACATTTAATGCTTTACACGGGCTACCAGATTATAATATTTAAAGACAAGGACGTGAACCTCTGAAATAATTCAAGTTGTCTCTTAGCGCCCTCGATACGTTAAGCAGGAGCACGGGCAGGTTTCCACTCAGCGTGTTTGTTTCATGTTTCCATAGAACAGCGCTGTGTGAGGCGGGTCTCCTACGCGCCGCGCTGTTCCATGAAATGAAATAAACACGCGGCGCGGACGTTCGCTCGTGCTCACGCTTAACGCAGCGCACGCTCTTTTAGGCTGTATTTGAACTAGCTATCTGAGCCAGTATACTACTAATTTTATACACTTACCGTCGACTGTGTCTTGCTGAGTTTAGCTCCTGAATCATCAGTTTATTTAAAAGTTACAAATAACATTGCGAACCTTATCACAATATAATTCAATAGTGCATAGTACAATAACTACGTGTAAGTGCTATCTTCTACCTTAGTGCATCCAAAGGTGATATAATTCCATACATAGGTAACTCCTGTCGCATCGAGTTTGGAAAATCTTATGAGACGATTACGAGACTTGTGAACAGTGTTAATCAATTCACAGTGTTATTAAAATTTATATGTGACATTACTAATTTGCTTCAAATCATAATAATACGTATCTGAGACTGATTTTCAATTGTACTCATGAACAATAAATAACAACTATTATCAACCTACCTTCAATCAAAAATAAAGGGAACTTGTATGTGTACTTAAATTTCGCCACTTCAACGAAGCGCCCTGTGGCTTCGTCGTGCAATACGCTCGGATTGGACTGTTGAGTGAAATCTTACTCGGTGATCACGATCCGAACCTGAGAACTGTTATTTACGAAACGACATTTTTTTTTTGTTTTTTTTTTATAATATATATATTTTTTTTACAAATATGGTTAATATGGAATGTTGCCAAGCCAAGTTAGTTTCCTCTGAGAATATTTTTTTATGTAGTGCTTCGGAAGGGAAATATCACTACGAGTGCTTAAATTTAACACTATCGCAGTATACTGCACTGAGCGCGAAATTCAAAGGTTCGTGGAAATGCCCACCTTGTAATAATAATATTACAAAGCGAACCAAATCAAATGTAAACACGCCGGTTCGTAGCGCGCAGATACCAGTATACGAAGATTCTATGGACATGTCTTGTGAGAACATAGATCGCAGCATGCTTACTAGCCCGAACACCATGTCGAAGGACTCCATAATACAAAGCTCTGCGAGTAACATGGATTTCGCAACATTCTCATTAGAACTGAACAAAACTTTGAACAAATGGCGCTGTGATATGAACAGAGACATGTCACTATTGTCGGAAGATATTAAATCCACATTGACTGAAATTCGAAGCGAGATGAAGAATCTAAAAAGTGAGCAATCGAAGTTGAGACAACACATGTCGGATATAAGGGCAGAAGTGGTCAGCCTGCAAACTGCAACTGAAAGTTTGTTTAATCGTCAAGATGTCGCAGACAAGCACATTGAGATAATTAAAAAGGAGGGTTCTCTCGAGGTTACTTCGAAACTTAATGAACTTAGCATTAAAATGGATATGATAGAGCAACAGGCACGCTCGGGTAATATTGAGATATGCAATCTTCCTGATAGGCGTAATGAAAATCTTCATGATATAATGGATAGCATTGGGAAGGTTCTGAAGTGTCCAATTCAGCAAGGCGATATCATCTCTATTCATCGAGTCCCCCATGCTGACAAAACAAGCAAGAAACCGAAATATGTCATCGTTAAATTCTCTACACCTTTGCAAAAAGACATCCTACTTAATGCATTTCGAAAAGCAAAATCATTAAAAACTAATCAAATTGGATTGTCTGATTCTACGCCAGTACCTTTTTATTTAAATGAGCATTTGACTCTCAAGAAGAAGCAGTTGTTTCGTAAAACTAGAGAAGTCGCAAAAAATAACAATTATAAATATGTATGGATCTCTAATGCTACAATACTCGTACGCGAAATGGATGACGCTGTTGCCTTTGCTGTACGTGGTGAGGAGGATCTCAGAAAAATCAAGGCTACTCCCTCGCCCACTAGGACATAAGAGTTCCACTTTAAAATTAATCAAATTGAATCATACTACTATACTATATTATTATGTTGTAAATTTAATAATTAACACTGTTAAGGTTGTTATCTTGTTGTCTATCTTGCGCATGTTTTTGTTGAAACTTAATTTTAATCATGTTTTAGTTACTACTGTTTTTATGTTTACACCTGAAAATCATTTGTTAACTGCAATTAAACGGTTTTCTATTGTAAGTCTAAGCTGTTCAAATCAATGCAAATGTTATGAATACCGCTGTTATACTCATTGTAATGCTCATCACTATTATCGTGTGTCGATCTGCTCTCGATTTCCTCAGGTTTGTTTTTTGTCTGCTTTACTTACAGTAATAATAAATCGCTTCTCGCATCGGTTAAAACTAGTTTCCCGTTCATTCATTGTATTATATTTATACGAATTAGTTGAGAATTTTGTGAACAATGCCTAACACGGATCAGTTATCTATTTATTATCAAAACTGTAGAGGCATAAGAACAAAACTTCAAAAGCTTTATATGAATATTCTATCCTTCACTTACGATGTTATAATATTGACTGAAACTTGGTTGGTACCGGAAATAGGCAATAATGAGTTTATAGATAGTCGATATAATGTTTACAGATGTGACAGGGATCACAAAGCTACTGGGAAACGTGATGGTGGTGGTGTTCTTATTGCAGTTCAAAGTAATCTCAGGCCTACTATGTTGGACTGGTCCAGCAATTCTCAAACATCCCTTAACTTAAATGTAGAACATCTAATGGTTACCATCCCTAGTAGGAATAACTCATTTTCATATGTGTTCAGTGCTGCTTATATACCCCCCCAAACCTCGTCGATCTCATATATGACGCATTTTGAATTCTTACAAGATATACTCAATGATCCGAAGTTCAGGGTATTTATTGTTGGTGACTATAATCTTCCCGATGTTACCTGGTCTGCTCCTCCAACGCTACCACCTAGTCATGGGGCCGGAATGGTATGTACTGGATCTGGTTCTGTGAGTAGCAGGCTACAACAGCTTATGTCTGTACTGGATGCTTTTCAATATAATACGATTTTAAATAGCAGCGGAAAAGTACTTGATCTTTTTATCTCAAACAATTTTTGTACACTGATGCACATAACAGATTTCTTGCTACCTATCGATTTATATCATCCTCCTTTTGCCATAAATGCGTCTGTTGATATTACCTACCAAATAATGAAACATAAACCCAGAACCAGGTACAATTACCACAAAGCTGACTATGTTAACATTAATAAAAATATTGCTGATACAGATTGGGTTAATCTGTTCGGTCATTTAATGCCCGAGGAGGCATTGGATACTTTTTATAGTAAACTCGATGAGATTGTACGTGCGAATGCCCCATTGTCAAGGAATCGGTCTTCAGGTTATCCAGTATGGTTTTTCCAAAAACTTATCAGGTTGAATAAGAGGAAAACGAAATCCTGGATCAAGTGGAAGAAATATGGTAACCCCAGGGACTACCATGAATTTTCTCAGTGTCGTTCGTCGTTTAAGTTACTTAGCAACTCCTGTTATTCGTTTTATCTGAATTCGGTTGAGGAGAGTCTCTGTAGAAACCCCAAACATTATTGGACATATATCTCTAATTTAAACCGTAAATCTGGAATTCCATCGACAATGCAGTATCAAAATAATAAATCCAATGATCCAGATGTGGTTTGCAATATGTTTTCCGACTTTTTCCTGTCTGTGTTTGAATCAGCATCTCCGACGTTATCTACATGGCGGGAGTCTGGGGAGGATAATGGTAGTAGTGGCACTTTACTTACTGACTTATACATTGATGAAAGCAAAATTATGAAAAAACTTGCTTCACTTGATCTCTATAAAGGGGCTGGTCCCGATGGATATCCGTCTCTATTCTTTAAGAACACTGCTGATAGCATATGTAGACCGCTTTGGATAATTTACAACAAATGCCTGCAGAGTGGTACGTTTCCTGAAGTATGGAAACGTGCTAATATTGTGCCGGTACATAAAAGTGGCTCGAGGCACGATGTTGAACATTATAGACCTATTTCAATACTGTCAGTCCCCTCAAGTCTCTTTGAAAAATTGGTACACGATGAAATTTATCCCATGTTACATCAAAATGTAATAGCCCAGCAACATGGATTCGTGAAGCGCCGCTCAACAACTTCAAACTTGTTGGTATTTACTAACGAACTGTTTGAGAACGTTGATAGGCGTGTTCAAGTTGACGTTGTGTACACAGATTTTAAAAAGGCGTTTGATAAGGTTGATCACGAAATACTTCTCAATAAAATTGCATTTAACGGCATCCGTGGAAACTTACTTCGATGGTTCAGTTCGTATGTTCAAAACAGAACACAAAAAGTTGTGGTAAATGGCTACCAATCAAGGAGTATTCATATCACATCTGGTGTACCACAAGGTTCCGTACTGGGACCCTTATTATTTATTCTTTACGTAAATGACATTAACAACTGTTTTCAGAATTCAAAATTTCTTATGTATGCCGATGATCTTAAGATCTACAGACCTGTGCGTTCGGTTGAGGACTGTCGTTTATTCCAGGAAGATCTTAATAGACTATCAGCTTACTGTACTAAGAATAAGCTTCGTTTTAGTATTCCAAAGTGTAGCTTTATTCACTTTACTAAAAATATTAATGTTATTCACTTTAGCTATCATCTTTGTAATGCAGAATTGGAGAACATTGTAAAAATCAGAGATCTCGGCGTACAATTCGATAGTAAATTAAAAATGGACCAGCATACACAGAGTATCGTCAATAAGGCATATAAAATGTACGGATTTGTTATGAGGTCCACGAAGGAATTTAAACGTGTATCAACCTATCTGAGCTTATACAAAGCGTTGATACGTTCACAACTTGAATACGCTGTAACTATTTGGAACCCCTTTTACAACAAATACAAGGAGGAGATCGAGAGAGTTCAACGTAAATATCTACGTGTTATGCATTACAGGTGTTTTCGGCGTTATTTGTCATATCCCCAGTTGCTAAGCAAATATAATATGATGACTCTAGAGGATAGACGCAAATATCTAGAAGTTACAGTATTGCATGGCATTGTTAATAACGAATTTGATTGTAGTGATATTACAAATAAAATAAATTACAAAGTGCCTCGAACTGTTAACATCCGCAAGCTCAAAAATATTAATTTATTTGCCACTAAAATTTGTCGAACAAATACAGGGCTACGTTGCCCTCTACATAGAATGGCTGAAACTTACAATACTTTGTTTGCAGAAGTGGATATATTTTCAAAAACTAAATATAAATTTAGGTATGATGTTATTAAAATATTGCATAAAGAGACATAGCATCTATATTTATTTATATGTATTAAACTCGCTTAGTGTAGTTATTTCTTATTTTTGATGTAGTGATAAAATATATATAAAAATATTACCAATTTGTTTATGAAAAATGTTTAATTAGGTACTTTTTGTTTGTTAAAATTATAGTTAAGCATAAGGATTATAACAGTGTTAAGTTTACTCTCAGTGAATGTAACATCAGCAAGGCACTATTTTTATTTAATAATTTGTGGATAATATTGTGGGTTACAATATTACCTTAGATTTTATGGTACCATGGTACCACATATAGTCTTTAGTCATAAAACACATATTGTAACCGTTTTTTATCCCTTAATAAATAAAATAAAAAAAAATACCTTGACCTAATGCTCGATTTCACTGATAAAATCTAATACTATACTTTTCTCTTCTAAGAGTTTCTGATTCCTGTTTCAGTGACAACTTGTTGTAGGTAGCCACGATTTGCTTTCAGGAGAAACGAAAGAACTCTGCGGAGAGTGTGATCCGCCACCACGAGACTTGGCAGTCGATGTGGGGCCGTCCAGGTCACGGAGCGCCCGTGGAGCGAGGTCGATACGCGCGCAGCAACCTGGCACAACTGCTGTACGTCGCTCCCTTGTCAAATGCGCCAGAATCCCAAAACTCTCCAGTGAGAATGCGCTGGCGAAACTAAATGCTCGCCCCGACTCATCGTAAAGTTTGCGCTGCAATCTGCTGCTTGTCAATGCAAACTTTATTCGATTTGAAACCATTGTGCATTGCCTGCACTGTTCCAGCTCTACCAACAAACACTGCTACAAATTTTGAATCAGATGAGTGTTTACTCTTCAGTGTCAACTCACACCGATACGCGACGCGACGCGACGCCGTGTGCACATTTTAATAGAGCGACTCGTTTCGGTATGAGTTGACGCTAAAGGCAGGGTACGTAGGGTAAGGAATTTTCCCGGTCAACGAACACTGGCTGTTGCAAGGTACATATTATACCGCTTGCATTGCGGCATCACACGGCATTTTTTAGCGCGGTCTGACATAAAATCCCTTTTTATGCCGCAACATTGATTTCTCAATATCTTATCTTATCACTACTCAAATATACTTCCGGACATACTTATTGGCTCACTTCATGTTATAAGTTTCAACGGTCAGTAGCAAAAAAAATATTAGCAATAACTTTAAAAATGCACGAAAAGATGGTTAATAAATCAGCTTCAACACTATAAGAATAACTGTAGGTAATAACTTTTTGTTCAATGTAACATTCATTTGGGCCGATAGATGTGCTCGGAAGTGTAGAATTTGAATGTCATTTGGTAAAAATAAGAATGTTTTGCCATGTCTTCCCAGTCTGCATAGGCCTTAAACGGAACCTGGGCCCTATTTCACCAAGTCGACATATGTCAGCCACATATATCGACTTAATAGTATATTAACCTATGTACAGCTCATCAATAATTTAATAAGGGACAATTGGACATGCATACATTGTCGATGTATGCCCAGGACGTATTGTGGACCGGAAATTAAATTTCTGAAAATTCTGGGACCAACTAAATAGATTCGGATTATCAACCTAGCCAAATGACTAAAACATTATTGTCTATTGCCATCAGTAAAGTTAGCATAGTTTGCCTTAATAGCACTTTATGTTTTGGAGAACAAACTAAAATCAATTTGTACGGCTCATTATTCAACATTTTATAAGACGGTGGGAATTATATAACTATTCTGGAAATAGTATCTTGTAAGTGCACCTGAGGCTAAGACTATACTATCATCAAAATGTAGTATTTTTTTTTCCTAACGTTTAGGTTACCAATTGTCTATCGTACAAAAAGTGAGGGGTTTTTGAGTATATGAGCCTAAGGCCCGTATTACAGAATGACAACTAAGTGTTGATCTTTACTTGAGTACAGTTAGAAAGGGATGTCGCTATGTATGTGCTATAAATAGCGACATCCCTTTCTAACTATGCTCATGACTAGATGAATTATTGAGAATCTTTCTATAATACGGGCCTCAGAGTGGTTTTTTCCTTTCCATTATATAAGTAAATATCATAGCTAACTTAACTAAGTTACAGTGTTTGTAGCGCGTCCTTAGCCTAAGCACGATTAAATCTGATTTTCATAACATAGATGTCTTAGCTATTTTACAACCAAAGTAATGATGTTGCCCTAATTTATATGGAATATGTGTGTAATAGTACATAATATTAAATAAATTATTGACAAAGTGAGGAAAAGAGGATATTATTAAAAATCTAATATGGTTAGGGATAGGAAACATGATCTATTTATAATAGGGAATATGCATGTTATTCAAATAATCCTATATTAATTTTATATAAACTTAATTTTAAGTTGTCCCTCCATCAATATTTGTTAATAAAAATTATTTTTGTGCAAGAAAGTAATGATATAAAAGTGCGAAAAACTTGTAGGAAATTCAAATATTTTGAAAGGTGACAAGGACGGATGTGCCCTAAAAATATAACAAACGTGATTTTTACAGGATATGCCAATGTCAGCGAAATTATTGTGCGAGTGCGTAGATTTGCGTAGATGTTCAAGTCTATGACATTTAAATTTTTACCATAAATGTATGAAACACAATGGTGTCCTATCAGGCACGATTCTCTAAATCTAAACTTAAATTTGACAATAGTGTATCCTTGTCATTCTCTATACAGAATGAAAAGGAGAGACTGATGTTAAATTTAGTTTTAAGTTTAGAGAATCACGCCAGAATCTACACCAATGTCTATTTGATTGACGTAGGTTCCGACGTCCAACCGCAGGTATGGAACGCAAAATGTCAGTATCTTGTAAAGTCATTGATCATGATTTTATTTATTTTTTAAGCATTTAACTGCTAGATGTTTAAATCTAAAGAAAGGTTTACTAGAAAAAAAATCCACGCGGACGTGAGTGCGAACGAGTCATTGATCATGTTGGTAGATTTAGATGTACCGTGACGTCACATCCAAGCGTTCGAAAATAGCGCGCGTATAAACGCCCGTGCAAACTTAACGTATTACAACATATTAACATAATTATCATTAGTATTTTAACATTTTTTTAGACACTTTATACTTTTTAGTTGACGTATATTTTTTTAAAACTGTTGAGGATATGTAAACTACTAAATAAACAAATAAAAAACATGCATATTCCCTATTGTCTGCACATAATTTTCATAACATGGAAAAGGTGTAACCGTTAGATATTAATCTAGACATCAACTAGTCGTTAATTTCGTCCGAGAGACAATGATTATTGTGTGAACGATATGCTTTTGTATTACATTATATCTTGAAGTAAGCCCCTTCGTACACAACGCTACGCAAATCTTCGATGCTATTGTAGTAAACTTATGCCGCGAATGTCTGCAGCGCGCGGTCCGTAGACTTGACATTGAATCGCAAGACGCGGGTTGTCTAATCTGCTACTGTAGGTTTAGCGGGAATACGGGTTTTATAGAAGCAAAAAAAGCAAGTACCTAGAAAGAGCTTCTACATTAATGAGTTACTATACTTAAAACCTAAAAAATACTTTGTTAAATTAACGGCCTTTCCTACTGCTACCCAAGCTTTTTCTGTAATATCCATTTTATAATATACTTGTAACTTGTAATTACACAAACAAGGATGTTATTCAACATTTGGATATGTATCAATACCAAAATTGCTTCGCCATCATGAAAACGGCAGCGACATTTGTAGCGGCGATCTCGGCTTTGTAACAATGTACTCTGCGGTGTAGGCGACAAATGACCAAAATACCTGTGTAAGAAGCTCAAAAGAATTTGTATTGCAGTCGTCGCATCGTTTGGTATTGGATATTTGCGTAGCGTTGTGGACGAAGAGCCTTATTTGGATAATTATTTAGAATTAGTAATCTAGGCTTGCAATTCCAAAGTTGCATAAAGCAGAAAGGGAGCTACTGAATCTCGTAATCAGAAAAATATTATATCATCAATTCATCATTGTCATTTGTTAATCAACTGATTTAAAAAAAAGCAAAATATTCGCATTTTTATTGAAATTAGGTAGCAGGATAGAAAGGGAAATACAAAACTTACAAAAAACCTCTTAGCTTTTAAATGTGTTTAATGTTTAATTGACGAAAACACTTAAACACAGGCTAAAATACTTATAACCTCTCAGTCAATTTCGTACAATAGATTGGGTTAGTTTTTTATATTTGCCTTGGGACATGATAATTCCATCTGACTATAAGCCACCATCACCTTAAACATTTCAAAAAAATATGCAGTTTAATTGTTTTTACCAAAGAACTGTTTACTTATTCAGAGTGCGGTATAATGTAGCTGAAATCATAAACCTAGTGGTTCAACAGCAACAATAAAATAAAAAAAAACTAAATAGATACTTAAGAAAGTGTGTCGGACATAAAATTAAAATCATCGTTATTTAAGCACGTCAGGCGTCAGAACGTGACGCATAATTTAGGTCTAAGTATTCTTATCAATCTTATTTCGTCTCACTGTACTTGTTAGTGTATTACTTATCGCATTTTGTATTATATAAAATACTATACTCGTCTCTCGTCAGCAATGGATCTGGGTCACCCGTATTTCGGAAACTGGGTTAGTTACTCATTTATTGGAAGTTTAAGCGATAAAAAAATATTTTCATGAAATTCTATTTAAAATATGTAGATAATAACTATTATAATTAATTTTCAAATCACAATATTATGATGTGATACTAATTTATAGTTTTACCAACTGGACACACGTGTTTCCAGTCACATGTGTCGAGTTGGTGAATAAGCCAAATTCACAAAAGACCTAATTCAATGACATCAGTACTTTTTAAATAAGATTAAAGTTGTTATTGTCGCTTGCTTTGCAATTTATACAATTATTGACATTTTTAAATAGACTGCTCATGGAAGATTTACTGCTCATAAGGTATATTTATCATAACTCACAAGTACATTTAGCATTAATTATACTAAAATATTCTTTATAGTGTAAATTTTGTATTAAAATCTTTAATAGTGATTAATATGAGTACGGAATTCTATGGATCGTAAGTTTTTTGCTGTTTTTGGCATATTATATGAAATGGATGTTTTTATTTGATGTCAAAAAGGTGGAGAACAAGTATGTGGCCCACCTTATGGTAAACGACACCATACAGCGATTAATATCGTAGGCACCATAGCCTTAAGCACTCGCGCAGTTGCCTACCCTGACTCAATCACCTAACCCGTGGAGCCCTTAACCATACTCGCCGATAGAAACAATACCAGTAAAAGGTAGTGTTTTTTTTACTGTGATCTTGTGTAAGATGGAGGCTACTTACTTCCCCAGTCGGGCGCTCTAATTTGAACAGATATACCGCTATGCCCTACCTCTCTTAAGAAAATGAGACGTACGTAAAATGTTCATACTTTGCTCCTATATGGGTAATTATGCTCCAATGTTTCATCTCTTAATATGTCCAAATTGTTGCAGCATTTCATTTAACTGTGAATGCACCCGAAACATCTTACTTATAAGTGGCAACACTGAACTGTACAATTTTTCATCCGCAATTTTTTTCATAAGTCACGTGCAGTTAGAAGGTAAGACCTTAAAAGTTATTTTTTTTTGTATCCGTAAAAGTCACTTCTATCTTGAAATCTGCATAATGCATTAAGGTAATTATGTTTTAATGTTATTAATTACATAATCAGGTAAAATAATACGTAAATATTTCATTACTGAGTTGGTCATAATCTAACCTCACATTTTTGGCGTGCTCATATTTTCTTTGGTACGAT